CGAAACTACTAGGAAAAAATATTTAAAAAAAACACCTATAAAAAATATTTAAAAAAAATATTATCATTTATCATTAATATTTGATATAATAATCCTGTCCAAAAACTTACCTTACTGTGAGGTGTTATGACTAAATTGTTCCATAAAAAGTTTTCAAAGCCTTAACACAGATGTTTAAGTGATTTTCCTGAGTTAACCTTTCACCAATCTTTTTACCGCAACGACACGAACGCACTTTATTTAATGGCCAAAAAACCGAGGGAAAAATGCGACGACTACTTTAATTTCGTTTAATTACAAATTAACACGAGCACTAACACTTAAACTCGCTCCAAAATTAAAACTCAAGGATTCTCACAATTTTCACGGATTTAAACAGACGCGGTGGCGAAATACATATGTAGTTTCGGAACTGCTTGGAACGCAAAAGTGGCGACGAAAAGTTTCCAATGCGGAGAGCTGTATTTACAATCAAATTGTTTGACGTATTAAATTCACACTGAACTACTAAGATATTTATTTATATAAATCTGAAATGATGAAAAAATTTAAAATTACAAATATGTCAGTATATTTAAATACGCAGATATAATTGAATGAAGAACATTAATATAGAATAGGTGAAATTGGACTTTTTAATTCACCAGAAGCGCTAACAGAATTTTTGGTGCATGCTTGGTGCCACCCAGCGAAGATTGTTGTAAGATTGGATTGCTTTTACTACACATATTACAAAAAGTGTTAATTTGATCCTGTGTCACTTGTTGAGGTAATTTTTCAAAATCGTTAGGAAATTTTATTTCAAATAAAATATATGTATAAATAAATACAATCGAATCTTGATAAATCGTTTGTATGGTTTGATAAGAATTAAAATTTAGCGCCACCTAGTTTTTGTATTTAAGTTCTCACTGAAAGCTGCAAAGAAATTCAACCCCGATTGTTAATGGTAAAATTTCCAGTTTCCCATTGGAAGTGCAATACTGTTCCATGATATTAGAACGACAGCATTTTATATGTAGTGATTTCTAATATATGACTAGTGTTTCTTAATCAAATTTGATACTCCTTTCAGTTGTGTAGCCATAAATTTGTAAGCTGCGCACGCAACGCCCCTGTGCCTAGTTGATTTCCTTTGGTGGGCTTTTTTCGCAGTTAACAAATTGAAAAAAGCTGATGTGGAGTGCATCCTGTAGATCTTTTTATACTTTCTAATTTTATAATCCGCATGAACCTTGGCGTTAAGTTCAATTTGTGGTGGTGCTCAAACTGTTGTAATTATGAATGTGCACGCTTGCAAGTACTTATGCTTCAAAAACTGTTCAATAATCTTTTTCAAATGTGAGTTGAGAAATGACATATTTTAACAGTTTGGGAGCCAATATAGTGAATAGTATCTATTAGTGCTTTTATTCTTTAGTATCCAAATAAAATATGATAAAAAATGTTGTAAAGGGTGCATTCTAATCTAGAAGCCCGAATTTCGAGAGGTCTTTGGTAATTGAAGCAAAGATACATAATTTACCATCTATTCACGAATAATAATTTTTATTCACATTTTAAGACAAGAAAACTATTCCACAAAAATTTTAAAAATATTTCGAATTAGTAATCAGTTTATATTAATTTTTGGCAGACTTTTTGGGGAAATTTTTTAACACGAAAAATTTCGTTATAATGAAAAAAGAAAAAAAAAATATTCTTTGTTCAATAACTAGATTATTTCATTTCAAATATGAGTACATATGTATGTTGAAAAAAAAAAAATATTGCTTAATAACTTTTCGTATTTCTATAAGTAAAACAGCCACAACTTTAAAAATAATTTAAAGTTTTATCCGTAAAATCCGTTTAAGAGCTATATTTGTAATATAAGATATATGAAAGCAAAAAGTTTCGACTTTTAAAATTTTAAGACTAGAAACTCCAAATAACAGATCTTTGTAATTTGCCTACATTATGTGTTTTGGCTACGAAACTTTATTGTTTTTTAATAAAAAAAAAATTATCCCCCTTCTCCGGTATTAATAGATATAGATACTAAACGATTGTTAAAAATATAACTTTTCAAAAATTTGCTGCGATCAATCAGCAGATAATGGGAAAATAAAACCGATTTTGTTGTAGAAATTGTATGCTATGTAGGTAGGAAAAATATGTAGGCTTATTAATTTTATAAAACTTTTCATGGCTTCAAAAAATTACGGGAATTTTTGCTTTTCATTTTCTCCTTGAAAAGAGTCCCCATTTGTCGAAACACTTCTCAAATGGGATTTTTCAGCGATTTTCATCTATCTTGTAAGCGATGGCTCTTTAAGGTTCCCTCTTTTTTGGAAATACCGAAAAGTCACACGTCATTTCTCACGAATCTGTAGGCTGCGGCATCGTTACGGTGTTGTTTTTGGCCAAGAAATCACGAACAAATTCATTCATTTTATTTCACATTAGCGGCTGCTACAGACATAATTCAAATTTTATCACACTTCGCATCATATGTACTATATAGTATGTACATGCTATATCAACACAACGAAAGAAAAAACCAAAATGTTGGGGATTTGGTTCTTCGAATTCTAAAAGTTTTAAATTTTAATTCTCTTTATTTCATTGTTCGGTGTTCTTCTTTCTGTGACTGCAATTGGAACCTGACGCATTTCGAGATTTGAACTTTAAAAACAGCGATAGCATAGGGAGACAGAAAGTCTGAAGGGTAAATAAGGCACTTGGATATTCATTGAAAAGCTTATTTTTTGCAATTTCTACTCAATATTCTTCAAGCGATTTTTTTTGGTGTTATCACTTCCCTTTTATATGGAATATTTGGGGATACCAAAAATGTGGATATTTTACATAAATTACCACTACACAATATTATATGTTATTTTAATTGCATTTTTGAAGCATAATTCGTAAACATGAAACGTAGAGCAAAGCGTAGAATAATTCATAATCTTTTATAATAATATAGATACGATAACTGCAGCTTAACGGAATAGCTTGGCCTGAACATCATATAGTAGATATGTCTTAATTTCCAATTTCAATATTTTTTCGAGAATAACAACCAAACAAAACAAGTAAGAAAGGGTTAAATTCGGATGGAACATTTTATACACTTGCAACCTGCAAAAATCAAAGCCAGAGAAATATCTTAAGATGTAAAACGTCAACGAGAGTATCAGAATCTAAGCAATTTTACATACATACATACATACATATACATACATACACTCTATATAACTCATTCACTGGTTGACGTTTTACATCTTAATGTATTTAAATTATACTAACATAAATATGTATGTATTTATGTATCACTATAAACAGTTTTAATACAAAACAGAAATACATACATAAATATATATATGTATATGCGCGCTCACCCTTAATTTTTATTATCTGCACATATTTAATTTCTTTCAATTAAATATACATATATGTAGTACGCCAGATATTTTAAACGCTTCGAGCGAATAATAAAAAAAATTTAATTTTAATATCACTATTAATACATTTCTCACTAAACTTCGATTTACTACAATACATATGTACATATGTATGTATGTATATGTACATACATATTTGCTGCATTCATAACGCGCAGTTGGAAATCTTTCGTGTGCTTTCCATACGAGCATGCTGAAACATGTTTGCCAAACCAATAAATTGTGCAGTGCTTTGCTAAATTACATTTGCACACTTTCACTTCTATTAATTAACACGCACTTATTACTTTAGATTCAGAAATTCAAATAATTATTAAATAATACTTAAAAAACTTCACTAAATTATTAATTTATTACTTTTTTACAAACTTTGTTCGCGATCACGTACCGAAGCGCACTTACCAACATACGACTACCAAACAGAGAATGTTAACGAACATGAATGAAGTTGTATTAGCATTCGGTCATTCAGTCTGCAGTGCTGCTCCACTGCTTCGTGATGACGAGACAACAACTGCTTTGTTGTATGTGCAAATATGTAACATTCCTGTTACAGAGAATCACTCGGCGGGTTTACGTTAGCATAAACAGAACAAATTACATTGCAGTTTTTTAACATCAATGCTAATAAAGAGTTGCTAGAGGGTATAATAGTTTTGTTCAGCGACGCTTACTTCCCATACAACATAATTTTAAATTCCATTTGAATTTTTCAGTGTACAAAGTAAGAAGCAATTAATAGTCTATGACCATAAATTCATATTCATAGAACACTTTTTTAGAAAGAAGATCAACTTTCTCTACTACGCATCACAAGAATCAGGTTGATGTTATTTTTTGTGAGCAGAGAGTGACTATCAGCGAGCTCAAGGCCTGTATAGCAGCTCGGATTTCGGAGTGGTTGCATACCTCTGTAAAAGAAGCAGCACTTCGGTGAAACTCATCTGCTGCTACCTTGCTGGCTGCCACTTCTGCTGGAATGATACTATGGTAGTGCTGGAATGATACTATTATAGTCTGGCAGTTTGAAATAAGAGTTGACTGGGAGCTCCCGACAGTAGACTGTCCCTTTAATCAGCTTTTTGAGCTTCAATCGATCCATGAAAAAGCGCCTCTTGTCCAGTGACTCCACCCTACTCACATATCATATATTTTGAATATTCACTTTTCAACAGAAATATCAATGAGTGGTTCATTCCTTTCAATATAATATTCGTCTAGTTAATTTGTCAAAGTATATCAGACACTAATTGAAGTAATTTTTACTCCCAGTGTAAACTCTTTGCTATAGATAGTTGTAGAAATTAAAGGGTCATAAAATCGTAAAATTTCCTCCAATTAAATGTTCAGTTCATGTAACAATATTTCTCAATAGTAGTGAAGTTATCTCAGTAAATACTAGTTATTAGATAAAGAAGAAAAAAAATGTTTTTCTTATTCATAGAAAATTGTAATTTTTGCAACGCGGCATATAAAGTCTTACTAAGAAAATGGTTTCGCAATTATATTGCGAAACTAATTTTTCTGTCAGACATTTCTGCATATTGAAAATCGATGCCAAATTATTACCTTGCCTATGCACATTTCTGCTACCGTCCTACTGTTCTCCAGCTACATGTGTGATTGTGGGCATCGTATTGTGAACCAGAAATGTTTATTGATTTTATTCTAACATATTATTTGAGTGCAGTAAAAATTTATTTGTTATTCATACTTATTTACAAATTCTAAAAGCCCCAACTACACACACACACACACACATCCCTGTCATAAGCTATTAACCTGTCACTGCCGTTTGAGTCTAAATTTGTAAATCGCTGGCGAAAGACACAAAAGGAAAGCAAGTCCACATATATAAATAAATGCATGTAAGTAACATTGGCAGTATGTATTTAACGGAAAACGTGCATATATATTTTTGTGTCACAAAAGTTATTATTTTTCGAATACACATATGTGTGTTAGTTTGTGTATTAACCTGACATGGGAGAACTTGTATGACTGCTTGTGTCATTTGGGTGTGTAAACATTTCAAAGAAGCGATTTGCGGGTGCAGCTAACTGTATATATATTTATACAGTTCT